CTTCTCCTTCTCCTTCTCCTTCTCCTTCTCCTTCTCCTTCTCCTTCTCCTCCTCCTCCTCCTCCTCCTCCTTCTGCCTCAGATTTGTTCTCTGAGTTCTAATGGGAGAGGTTTGTTGAAGACTTATCATTTAGGGCTTATTGTTCAAATATATCTCACTCTCTTTATTGTCTGCCCATGGGTCTCTATATTTGTTCCAAATTGCTTCATGAGAAAGCTTCTCTGTTGCTACCTGACTTAGTACTAATCTGAGCATAGCAGACTATCATCAGGAGTCATTTTGCCACTACATTTTTAGAGCAGTATTATTTGGTTTTACCCTAGGTTCCGCAGGCTATCTAGCCCCTGGTCATCAAAGCAGTGTAAGATAAGGGATTCATCTTGAGGAGACTGAGTGAGCCTGAAATAAAATCAGTTATTGGTTTGTTATACCATAAATTTTGCACCATCATCAGTCTAGTATATCTTGTACATAGTGCACCACTGTAGATCAAAGGATTTTTGGATGGCTTCATGTTTACATTTTTCTTTTGATAGCATGTGCTGGAATGTACAGGTGAAAGATTTATGTAGTCAGCAGTCCAGCATCTCTGTGTTCTATGAGTAATGAAGATGTTGTCTTCAGTTATAGGGCCTTGCTGTCAATTTGTGAAAAAATAACTTATAGTCTTGGAAGCAACCTGTGTTGTTTAGGAGTACACATGGGATATCTTTGGCCAACAACTCAATTAAGGTACCCCAATCTCAATACTGGAATCTTCCTTTGGTAACAAAAGATGGACATTTGGGACACCATCTCTGCTGTTATTAGTTTATATTATTTAGATTATCTTCAAATTTTTGTGTACATACATACATATTTTTAAGAAGTTTCTACTATAATATGCTGTATATATAGTTTTCCTGAAATGTACATTAATTTTAGCTATCTTTCCTCATATTCCCTTCCTCAAGTCTCTCCTCTCCCCCCCCCCAGCTGGATCCCCCCATTCCAGTCCTTGTTTATCCATCCGTAAATTGTGCTCTTTGTTTAATTTTTTTACTATGTTCTGAGGGTATTTTTTTAATCTATTCAGTCTATTTGGTGTTCTGCAATCTTATTTTATTAAATGGGCATCTACTTCTTTAAGTTAGGAAAATTTAATTCTATGAGGTTGTCAGCATTTCCTGTGGCATTGACTTTGGTTTTTCCTCTTTTTCCTCTACTTATACTAAAAGATTTAGTTATTTCTTGTTGTCACAGATATCTTAAATATTTTGTGACGTGAATGTTTTGAGATTTAAAAAATTTGACAATTGTATATATTTCTTCTCTGATGTCTTCAATGATTGAGAGTCTATTGTTCATCTCTTGTATTCTGCTCATGTAACTTACCTTTGAGATTCCTGTTTGAGTTTCTAGATTTTTGTTTCACATATTTCCTTCAGGTTGAGCTTTCTTGATTAATTTTATTTCCACATTAGGTCTTCAATTTTTTATTCATTTCCTTTCATTGTTTGTGTTTCCATACATTTCTTTAAGGTATTTTTCCTTTTCTACATTAAAGAACTCTATTATCCCCTGCAGGATTTTTAAATGCCTTTTTCTTGTTCTACAGGTACGTTGTAATATCTAGTGCCTGTTGTAGTAATGTGGCTGGGCTCTAGAGAAGACATACTGTTCTGGATGTTACTGGTCTTATTTCTGTGTGTAAATTATTGGCAGCTGAATTTGTGAAAATGTAATTCTAGATGATGACATCTGATCCTGTCTTTGTTGGCCTAGTGTTTCCTTCTTTATTTTATGTTGTACTGAGTGGTACTTAACAGAGTGTGGTGGTTGTGTCTTGCCAGGTAAGAAATTCTTCTGTGATCCTGATGCCTTTAGGATATAGAAATATCACAGTTAGGTATGGGAATAGGCAAGAAAAGTGCATAAGAAGATTCACAGGAGTGAAGGAATCAGAGTCTTCCATAGTTTCTGCTTATTCAGTTACCTGGGAATGGGGCCCTTGAGTGAGGAGAGGCCAAAGAAGAAGTTTTTTTTTATACAAAGGTAAGGAAAAACTGAGGTTTGACCTGAGAATAATGGTGGAAAGAATGGAAATCTGAGGTTAACCTACTTGCTTTCCTGGTTAGAGTGGCCTGCAGGTCCTTACTGAGTGTCTTCTAGATTTGAGGACTATAATAAAGCGATGAGTACTTAAATGGAACTTTGGAAGTTCAGATTTGTGTGTACCACTTGAGAGAGCAGCATTTGGAAAAGGAGGCTGAACCACATAGTCTACACAGAGCTTGCCATGAAACTATGACACTAGCATTTGAGAAGAAAAAATGAGATGTGAAGATCTGTATTCAGAGTACCTGTTTCCCTGTGAAGCCTGCCTATGGGGTCCTAGGAAATGCTTGTTGGAGTTGAGTTGTGGAACAAAGCATTTAACTGAGGTAGTGAGATTGGGAGGTTTGTGTGAGATTAAAGATTGTGAGACCTGATACAGGTGTTCTGCTGTTGAACTGGGCAAAAAACTGGAAGGTTGGACTCAAAGGGATGGTGGGAATATTAATATCTGCAGTTAGCTTATATGTTCTCTGGCTAGAGTAGCCTGCAAGTTCCCAAGAAATGTTTGTTCAAGTTGGGGGTTGAGATCATACTTTGTGTTGGAACAGTTTAGTTAGGAGGAGGAGATTTGTGGGATCCACTCTAAATGGGGTGAGTTGCCACAGATTTTATGCGACAGAATTGGGAAGTAGACTTAGGAATTGGATCTGAAAGAGCATGAGAAAAGGTAAAAATCTGCAGTCAGACTACGGGTTTCCCTGACAGGAGTAGGAAAAGTAATTTTTCATGAAAAGTATTACAGAGCAACAAAAACTGAAAATTGGATCATTCAAAAAGATTTTGACCTATTAATGTTTTCTTCTAGGAATACTAACTT